ATAATTGTTGGCAAATGTTTTTACAATTAAGTTAAAAGACACAAACTTTACAATTAAAAGCAATTAAACAATTAATTATCATTTCCTGAACGCATCGTTTCTGTTTTGCATCATTTTGTTGTTTTTCCATTTCATTATTGTAATTGAATTTAGAGAGAGAGAGAGAGAGAGAGAGATTCGTAAGCTTTTAGTGTAATTTCAAAAATATAGGATAACTTTTTGCATCACAAAAAACCAAATTAAGGTAAATATTCAGACATTAATTCACAGTTAAGATTGCAAAAAAAAACCTTTTGTATAACAAAAATACATTTTATTTAATACATTGCATAACAAAGGTGTGGGAGAAATGGCCTAAAAGTCAGAAACACAGGTATATTAAATTGAGATCTGTTTGTCTCAATCACCATAATGTCATTATCAGTCCAACACCCATAATATAGCCCATAGCCAGTGACCCATCAGTGATGGGCCATCACATGTAAATACGAAATAGATTGTACAGTGAATCAACAAAATACAAGTTGCACATCTCATTTTCTATATAATTATGAAAGATTAATTGTGAAATAATTGCTAATTCACCCTGGAGAATATTATATGTTTTATAAGAATAATAACATAACTTTAATTTACATTATGGTATTAACGCTATATTAAAATGGTGACACACTTTTGAGATAATAACAGCCAAAGTGATAGGGAATAGTGTAATTCACATTATAATTAGTGTCCATGACTTTTCATTTTAGTAAAATTATTTATTAAATACCAAGGTTTAAATGAAGTTGACCGCACAGAATATTCGTGATCTACTTGTTTGGTATAATCAACCAAGAAGTTCACGTATACATTGACATTCAGTTTTATTGATTACCACTTTCAATATTTGTTGTATTTAAAGAATATTCAGTAAATCAAAAGAAATAATTTTATTTATTGGATAATTAAGTTTATAATTTGAGCAAAAAAACTAAATTATTATTACATTTTGTAACAGTAATATTTTGATCATATATTGTGATTGCAGATAAAAACATGTCAATAGTTTTATAAATGAATTAATTATATCTAAAAGTTACATAACTATAGATATGAATAGAAAATTGTGTACCGATTGTACTCTCGATATAAATGGAAATTTTCATAATTAAATAACAAAATCAGTTAATTGGACACAAATGGCAGGAATGATGTGTACAAAAACGTGTATACAATGTGTTTGTTTCGTATCACAAATCATTTGAAAACACAAATACAATGTTTTTAGTGAAAGACCTAAACATTGATCAGATATTATGGTCAAAAATGAATGAAAAAAGTACTTTAAAAAAGTAACTAAAAGTAAATGTCATCGAAATTAATAAAAATGTAAACGATTAATGACAATAAAAATGATAATATAAAAAAATACATTATAATGTGATATAATGTGCAAAATATGGTATACTTTGCAATAAAATACAACACAAAAATTGTGAAAAATGTGTCGATAAGTACACTTCAAGTAGTTTTTAGTTTTAAGCAAACATACAAAATATTAATCAAAAAAATAATAATAAAAATGTATTAAAAACATGAGAAACAATGAACTAAACACATAATTACCATGCTTATCGACTTTTCTTAAGAGATCACATGATAATACATATCATAGGTTTATTGCTGTGGTCTATATATGCATGTAATTATATTTAAACATTTAATTAATTATAATTAATAATAATCTTATTTTTAAAGCGATTGTAATACACAGATAATGATTAGTTGTGTGATTAATATACTATTGTAGTATTAATAGAGGCAGTGATCGCACTGGCAGTCAGTAATTAGTAATTAACTAAAATTATATAATTGTAATTAATTATAACTTATAATTAATACAGTATATAATAAAATATCGTTGCATTTAAGCATAAAAATGGTATACAAAATAACACAGAATATGAAACAAAAAAAGTAAATATTTGTACGAAAAATCAATTGCATTGTTATCTGATAAACATTAATGACTGATTCAAGTGGTGAAGACCCGGTGGCGGTCAACCCGAACGGGGGGCTGAGGGGGACGGCTGTTGGGCAGCGGCGCCGGCCGTGTAGTCGTAAACGACGGGTGCGTTCAACATATTGCGCCAAAAATCGGGCAATTCTTGACCAAAATGATAGTTGACGTGATTTTTCAAGTGATCGTTGAATTTGTTGTCGAATAGTGTTGTGAAGTCGCAGTCAGGACGGGAACACCTGTACCCCTTCTTCTTCGGTTGGCCGCCAGTCGAGCTGACAGTAGCGGTGGTCGCGCCGCCAACCACTGCGCCGGCGGTCGTGTTAACCACCGAACAACGACTCTCTTGACTACTGTCCGACAGATAGCCGTTTGATGTGGAGATTTGGCTCATTGTGTCGGCGGTGTCGACGCTTTGCCGAAGAACTAACGGCGAGTTAACGGCCGATTCGATAGCGTCGGTGGTGACGGCCGACTCGTTGTCCGACTGGTCGATATCGATGACCATTTCGCGTTTGGCCAGCGGTGAGGCTGTGATTGTGGACAGCGTGACCGTCGATGGCGGCATCTCTTCCGGCGGGTAATCACTTTGACTGCTCTCATCCAACGTTAACAATACAATAGACGAGCCGTTGATCGGTGACTCGCGTTTGACGGCCGGTGTTGTGGCCACTGATTCGCCGCTTCGGCGCAACCGTTTGGCTCGGATTCTGTCCGACGACTTACGGATCGGTCTCTTTTCGGTCACTTCTGATGCGGGCGTAGCCGACGAGACTCTACTGTCGTCGCGAGTGCTGGTGACCACACTATTATCATCGCATTTGGCACTTATCGGAGGTGACTTCTTAGTGGTCACCAAATTTGCAGACAATCGGCTCGACTGTGAGCTGTTTGAGTCGCTGTCCGTCGGCTCGATCTTTGGGACAATTACTTGATTATTATTTGCCGTACGATTCGGCGAATGAATGCCGTTCAGCGGTGGCGGCGCCCCTTTGGCCGCATTCTTCCTGAGAGCTGTTTGTCGCAAATTATTGAGATCTTTGGCCACTTTTTGTTTAATTTTGGCGGCAATTGGCGCCGAAATGACCGCCACATCCGATACCACAAGCAATTCGACCGGCGAGGCGTCGAATGCCGTGTTTTGCCGGTGAATAGCCATCGACTCGTCCGTCAAATACTGTTTCACACATTGAAGACTCTCGAGACACAACTTGGATGAGGTGTTGTAGGCGTCGCTGGCCATCACGTTGTGGCGCTTCATTGCCATCAGTTTGGTCTTCAAGTGGTCAATCTTGACGTCCCTATCGGCGACCTTCGCGTCCCTATCGGACACCTCTTTGAGAGTATTGGTCCACTCAGTCAACAGCTCTTTCTCTCGGGCGGCGAGTTTCCTATTGTCCGCTTCGAGTCTCCTATTATCCGCTTCCAGTTTCTTAATCTTCGTGTCCTTCTCTGCGACCAACTTCTCGCTGTGAATCAGTTCGGCGCGCATTGTGGCCATCGATTGTCGCATCGCCTGATTGTCTTCGGCGCCGATCACCGCCATTATCTTCTGGATCTGCTCTTTGCTCTGCGCGCACGACTCGTCGCACGCTTTGATTGGGTCGGGAGCTGTCGACGGATCCGCTGACTTGTATTCGGTGATCACGCGTCGAATGATAGCCCTCTGGCCGACAACGATGTCCGTCAAGAGCGGTAAGTCTTTGTCACAGTCGATGGCAATGAGGCTGTCGTTGCTGTCGAAGCCGTGTTTCGACAACAGCTGACGAGTGGCCGGCGTTAGGCTCGCCGTCGCCCTCAACAGCGACCGCAGATCTGTGCCGTTGGCCGCGGAGGACATGTCGGGGCTGTGGGGGAGGAATGTCTTGTGGGAGAGGGAAGAGATGGTTGGGATCACAACACAAACCAAACACAACACACAGTCTTATCGCACATGTGTTGGCATTGCATCAGTTGTTGGCATCGATACAGTACTGTGCGCTCCATTCAAACGCTGTGCTGTACTTATGACTGCAATAAACCGGTTATTGAAAGTACAGTACTTTAGGCTTAATAGAGCAACCCTTTCCCTCCCTACAGTCAAACCTCCGTATAATTACACCAATCAGTTATAACACTAAAGTATTAATTACTTGAAATTATAAGTTTTACTCAAATTAATTGGTTTTAAAGTAAATAATTTAATTGATTAGATGTATAAAAATTTAGTCGTTATTATATTAAATAATAATTTATTGATTATAAAACACTAAATGCATACAAAATTGGTCACAAAATAATAAATCACTTAACATTCTTAATAGTCTTTGAATCAATAGTGACCACAAATATGATCGATAAATATATATTGAGATTAAATCCACTGTAAAGTCAGTGATTAAATGATAACGTATTATAGAGTAATTCAATGGTCTGTTGAGAAAGTGTTTCGCCAAAAGAGATGATCATTAAATTCATTGAAGGAATTACTGGACATAAGCTATGGTTAATAAAACTTGTGGTCTTTGCCATCTCAGAGCTGATCCTCTCTTAACCAAACTCTGCATTTATCACTTAATTAACACACTTTTCAATCAACCAATCCTTGAGTTGTTTCAAAAAGTTTTATTTAATTATAATTTTAAAAAATATGAGAACAAAAAAAACAAAATACAAGACTTTCGGAAACATTGGTCTTCGGAATAATAAACAATCGCTGACCACAACGAGTGGCCATCAAGTGATCCGCAAAATAGTTGTTTGAAAAATTATATTCAATATTAATTTAATAAATGAAATGACGATAACTCTAGACATGAATTACATAATCAGACAGTAATTAACTAAATAATTAATACCTCCCGAAAGACAAGGGGTGGGAGGCGTTTGACTATACCATAAGGGGGTATAAAAAATTCATATTTGATTCATTTGAAAATGAAGAATAGAGGGGTAATAGGGGTTAGAGAGGGGGCGGGGAGGGGAGAGGAGGGGCTGAGGGGGGCAGTGATGGCGCCTATTGTGGCAGATTTTCAAGCGAAGTGGAGAAGACAAAGTCGTGCGGAAACAATTCGCTGGCTTTGGGCCGCAAGTGTCGGTACATATTGATGATAGTGTCTTCGGGAACGTGGCTAACAATGGCCAACTGTGTGAGCGATCGTTTCACTTTCGACACCTGAGAGACCAGAAACAGCGCCGCAACGCCCACGATGTTGGGATCAAACGCCGACACCAGCCGCTTATTCATGGCGGTCTTGGCCACGTGCGCCGCCACGCGTACGATCACCGCCGGCAGTCGCAACTGTTGGCCAAACTGTTGGATCAGTTCCGTCGAGTTGTACGACACCTGTACGCCCAGACCCAACACGTCGGACACCTCTTGGCAACAGGTCTGGATGTCTGTGCGCGAGAAGCCCAGCGCCTCGTGTATCTTCTTGTAGCTGAGGTTCTTGTAGTCGGCCATTCGTGCGGCCAAATACATGGCGGCCACCGACGGCCGGACGCCGATCTGAACGCACACCGAACGCGACTCGAAGTTGTCGTAAATACGGTCGTAGAGTTGGTGGGCCTTCGCGTCCACGTGTGGCGGCAAATGAAACTTCAGCGACAGTTCGTTCACGTCGTCGTGTCCGGTGATGCCCGACATGTGCGCACCCGAGCCTCCCATTCCGCCCATTCGGGCGTATGGCGATCGCGATGGACCGGCCATCACAGGCATCGCCATCACTGGCATACTGTATAGACGGGAGAGATCGCCGCCACCGCCGTATCCGCCGTACCCAAAGTCGGCGGGCAGTCGTCGCTCGTACGGCCGCTGATTGGCGCCGAACCGATCGCCGCCTCTGTTCTTGATGTTGGGCTGTTTGGCAGACATCGCCATCTTCTTCGCCGACGAATGGGGCGGTGTTTTCTGTCCGGACTGTTGCTGCTGTCGTTCAGCCGCCGATCCCATCAATCGGTCCAACTGTTCCTCGAGTGTCGTGCACTTGATCTCCATCTTCTTCTTCTCTTCCATCGCTTGCAGCAAATGCTGGTATACTTTCTTCAGCTCCGACTCCAGTGTCTCCACCTTATCGGTCAACGCCTGGATCTTGTCCTCCGACAGCATTAGCGACGTCTTCAGTCCGGCGGCTCTCAACTCGTTGTCGTCCATTTGGCCACCAGTGCTGCCGCCGTCGCACGCGTTGTCGTCCATCACATCGTTGCCATCGTTGTCACCGTCGGCGCCGGCGTTGCCGTCGACACCACTGCCATCAACAGTACTGCCGTCGGCACCGCTCGCCTCCGCGTCGCCGGCATTCGTGTTATCATTAGTGGCGTCTTCAGCGCCATCCACAGCGTTATCATCGCCACCGCCATTGGTGTCGGCGGCTGTGGTCTCGGCAGCGGTGGTCACATCCATACACTCGTCCTCATCGGCGACCGCATCAGTGGTGGTATTGTTTGTGTTTTCGTTGGAATCGGCGATAATATGGTCGATATTTTCGATGAGATCGTTGTCCACCACTTCGCTCACCTCATCCACCACTTCGTCGCCAATAATGTTGTCTTTATTGTCTTCGGAGTCCATTGTCTGGTCGGAGCAATTGATCCGTACTTATAATTAAACACTTGTTTTGTTTTCACACAAATAGAGAGACAGAGAAAACACAGCAAAGAGTGAGACAATCAATGGCACCGTTCGTATACAACGTTACGCTTTCACACAAAATACTATCACCTTTTGTTGTTTTGTAACTTTTAAAGTGAGTTTTAATCACGATTTGTATTTTAAAAGTATTTATTTTTCATGTATTTAATTAATAATTATAAAGCGATTGTTATTTACATTAATGGTCTCAACAAAACAATTGATAATCACAATTAATTACTGGCTTTTAATACCCAGTGTTTACATGTCTTCACTGTTAGTAATTGTGTGATAATTATAACTACTGGCGGTTATCCGGCGGTAAATGACCCGCAAGTGACGGCCCAATAGTTAGTCATCATTCTTGGTATACTCGACACAACGGGACGGATCCGTTGTGAACAGCTTCTGGCACTGAGTCATGAGCCTCTTGAGGGCCTGAATGTACTTCCTCTGAGTCTCGTCGTTGAGTACGTGAGCGATATTCTGGGCGAAGATCTTCTCGCGACCGGTACGGGCGTGAATGCCAACCATAGTCACCCCTATAGGCCAGGGGGCGTTCCCGATGGCCATCTGGAGGTAGGCGTCGTTGGCCTTCACGTAATTGCGTTCCAACATATACTTCGTGATGATAATCAAGTGCTTCTTGATATCGTCGGCCACTTTGCAGCTCTTCAGCTGCCGTAGCAGTGGTCGCAAATAGGTCTGCGTCTGCGTGTAGATGGCGTTATCGATACGGCCTTTGGCCGTACGCTTCACCTCTTCGGGCCGGGCGTTCAACTTCTTGCCCCACAACTCGAGCAGAAACTTGAGGAATGTCTGAATCACGTCGCAGTCGCGCCCCTCGTCTCGACGGCGGCCCAAGTGCTGCGCCAACTGTAGTATCTCTTCTATAGTGGTGTTCATCTCAACCACTTTGACATCGTTGGCGCCGTCCTTCTTGCTCTTGTCGGCGCCCACTTTCACGATCTCTTCCAGATATGCCGCGTCCACCGATTCCATCGCCGTCTGTCAACGGTTCCCATAGTTATACAGAGAAAGGGAGACAAACAGATAATAACGTTAATTATCATCCAAAACATGGCGAGAATAAGTGGCCATCAGCTGAGGTGATGGCGTGAAAAGACAATTACCTGAAAGTCATTCCTAAAGCCCTGATCGCTGGCCTCGGGTTCCAAGAGCTCGAGCTTCCGGAGCCGCAGAAACGCTTCGGTCTCCGTCTCCGCGAACAGTATTATCGGTTCGTTTCGTTCGCGCAATCGTTTCACCACTTCTTTGCGCGGAAGGATCCGCTGCTCGACCGCCGCCGACAGACCACTGGAACCGCTCGTCTCAGCCGAGTGTCCGCCACCAGCGCTGGCGTCCCCGTCGGCGGCGGTGCTGTCGGCCGATCCGACCGCCGATTTGTGGCCGTGTTTTTCGGCCTGTTTTCGGTGATAGTCTTCGTCCCACTTGTGGTTCATTTCCTCGCGTTTGAAGAACTTCTTGTTGGAGTCGATCAACGACTTGGACTCCAAGAGTTTGCGCTTCCGCGCGATCTCCGCCTTCAGTACATCCATCGCAAGGATTCGCAGATATATCTCTTGGACTCAATCGGTGGTCATTATAATCATCTGATCTCTAAATGTGTTGACTTTTTTGTTGTTGTTTTCGCAATCAATTCAATGAAAATCATAACATTTTCACTGTTTATACAATAAAATATGTTTAGAGTTTTGGGACTTTTTACTATAGTTTCAATTATGTGTTTGTATTATAAGAGTCTGTAGTATAGAAAGGGACTAAATTTTCGGTGAAATATCTGTTGACTTTTAAACCCTTTATAACTTTGTATTAAATATTTCATTAATTAAAAAGTAATTAATGTTGAAATTAATAATTTATTTAATTAAATAATTTTAGTTAAATTATAAATTATAACCATATTTTTAATTACAACTTTAACTATTACTTAATTAAAAATTTAGTATAAAATATAACGCTTTAAAACGGACGTAATCTATGAACGATTCCTCCCAACGATTTTTAAATGATCATTTTAAAGTACAGTAAAATCTCAATAAATGTAAAAACAAATGAATTATAATTAATTATGAGCAAGCACAATTTAGTAATTGGTGTTAATATGCTTGATAACAATTAACCATGGAAGAATATAGTTTATATCGCCCAAAAACTATCAATAATAATGTGTGGCGATAGGTGTAACCTATACTGGGAGTCGACTGTATCGGCATTTATTAAAGCCAACGCTTATAAACTGTGAGACAATAAAACTGTAGACAAAAAACACTCAAAACTCATTCAAACAGACAATCGGTCTCTCAATCGGTGGCCACAGGATATCATCAGCTGATTGTCACCGCAAAGACAACACTCACATTCTTCCGAAGACAACCCACCAAAAGCCGACGACAACAGCACATCCAGAAGAATGCTGTCAAACAGTCTGCGGCGTCTGAACCGCACGAATCGGTTGATAACAGTGGACGACATATCGGACAACCTGTTGGCCGGGCGGTCGGCCGCACACACCCAGTGCTGGAAGTACTTACAACAGGCCTCCTATGACGCGGCTCTGGACCAGTCGGAGGCCATTTGCCTGCGAGAGCCCGAACGGCCCGACGGCTTCGTCTTTAAGGCCAGAGCGCTCTTCAAACTGAAGCGTTACGAAGAGGCCGAAGAGGTTCTGCTTCACGTGATGAAGATCGCCGAACAGAACGATCTGATCCGCACAGATGTCGAAGGTATTAACCATTTATATGATCATTAAATCGGTGATCACATTGATTACTAATGTCTTTGAAATACCCCTTTTTGTGGTGACCGCGAGGGAGTGTGATGTTTATCCTATGGCTGGTCATTGTTTTGTCCCTCATTTAGTCCAAGTCTTGTAGTCTCTATTTATGGTATTATCTCTCGCTATAGTGTATTCACATTAGTATAAAGCCGTACACTATTTCTATGGCTATAACAATAGGGTCTAAGTATCTGGTGATTGGCTCTTAAGATGTCCTCAACGTATAGGCATTTGTCTGAAAGGATTGACAAATTGTTGAGCAGATTGTCAGTGGTTTAGACCTATAATTAAGTGATTAATACACAAAAAATAGGCATTAATTGAGGGATCAATTGGAAGTGTTTGTGATGTGATGTGAAAAGCATAAACCAATAGCGAATCGATCCATTGAATTGCAGGAATGGTTAAACTGAAGGATGAGTTGGCCAACTCTCGGGTGGAGATACTGCGCGAACAGAGCTTCCGGAACCCGATGGACATCGCGGAGATGCACTGGAATGACTACCACAAGCCTATTCTCGAGTTGATTGGCTTTGCGTCGCGAATGCGCGGCGCCGGCGGTAGTCGAGGCGGTGGTGACGGTCGCCGCTCAGCGGCCGCAGACATCGGCGATCGCCCGATGGATGTGGACTTAGAGATCGTGGACATCATTGGCGCCGAACGGGCCAAAGCTCTGTACCCGGATTTGGTGATCAATTCGCCGCGCGCTAAGAGTACGCCCGTCAACAAGAATGGCGGCGGCGGTGGTGCCGGCTATACGGCCAGACGTCGCGCGGCCGGCGGCCACTCGAATCTGGACATTAGCGGCGAGTTTCCGACGCCATCGCGAAACACATCCAAAGAGGAGAGTATCGCAAAGGACGTGGAGTTACGCACCGCTGGCCTAAAGACACAGTTGATGTTAGCGGAGGAGAAGGCGCTGAAGAGCGACCAGAAGAACCGTAAACTCGAGGA